CTCTGCTCTAAATCTACTTGTATATACTTTTGTATAACAGTGCTTTTGTCTTAGAATTATAAAAGGCTAGTCACTATTCATAATTTCGCGCCAAACGCCACGAGTTAATCTTTTCTTTGGAATGTTCTAATTAATAGGTTTGATAGCTTCAATGAAATAAAAAAAAATGTTAATATCGCCTAAAATTTGATGATCAGAAATTATATTAACACATTTCAAAAACTCCATATAGTATGTAAACAAGTAACACTAAAACAGTGTAACGTCTATGAATTTTAACTTTTTTTGCATAAATTCATGTATATCGCCAAAGTCAACTACCCAGATTAGTTAAACATTCATGAAGAGATTGAAATGTTTCGCCCCCCAATAAAGGCTCGCCTTACGAAGGTCAAGGAATTGGATACGGTTTGTGCTAAATTACTTGATTAAGATCTTTTGAGACAATAAATATAAAATCCAATAAGCAATCTTCTAAAAAATATGATTATCTTATTTTGTCTTTTCTATTAGTTTAATATGGCACAAGTGTGCATGGGAAAAACAGTGAGTAAGTTTTATACTTGCTATATTCATTGATATTCTTTTTTGAAAAACTTTTACTTATAACAATGATTAAAGATCTGCTTTTCCGTGGTGCAGTCAGAAGATATTAGGTATCAAATTTCATTTGCACATTTAGTTTTCTTTTCTACTTTGAGAACCAACCAAACCCAGTTAGAGAAGACGTTTAAGAAGAACTTAGTTTGACACAGAATTGTAACATAACTACAACGTGAAATCCAAGTATTCCTTTACATTTCATTTGCCCTTATGTTACTTTCGTTCAAGCAAACGCTCGACTGCTTCCGTAAACCCCTATTGGGTATAATGTCGGAGTTGACAGAGAGGGCGGCCATTTTGGAACGCTTCAGATTTTTAAATTCTTATATCTAGAGTTTAGATATATCAATATTCAAACAAATTATATAGTAAGCATCATAAGAAAGGTCTCTATTAACATTCCAAAAATAAACGAAAAATATTGAAAAACAAAAAAAGTTGAAAAATTGGACTTTTTCAATTGGCTTCCGGTAGCGACTGGAAGTAATGACGACAAACGAAACGTCGCGTCCTGGATAGTATTTATCATCATGTATAATCTCTGAAAGTTTCAAATTGAAATCTTTTACCGTTCTTAAGAAAATCCGTAGACAAAATGTCATTTTAAAATTCAGAAAAAGGTCCATAACTTGGCACCGGAAGCGAATTTCCAAAAAATCTCTCAGATGTATCAAATCCATTTAACAACACATCTGTCCTGTAAATTTCATATAATTCCATGCAGTAGTCTTCGAGAAATCGCGTCAGAAAATAATAATAATAAGAAGAAGAAGAAACAATAGAATCGCTATAAGGTCTTCCGTTAAGACGGAAGACCTTAATAATCTTTACCAACAGAATCAGTAGAAGGTCTTCCGTTGGAAACGGAAGACCTTCATAACGCTTAAATCCAGTTTCATAGTACTGCCTGAAGACAATCCACTGTAACAGAAAGATCATGATAAATATCTTCTCTGCATTTTACTTCTTCTTTAACCTGGCCTTCATTAATTCATGCCTATGAACGTCTTTCTTTGCACCTTTCCTTTCAAAGCTGTAAACGCAACATTCAGATCACCATTCCAATTACTAAATGACAATTCATTTTCAGTTTAAGGTTGCAATGTTTAAACAAATGTTTTTATCTTGGCACTCTCAGTAATAAATGTTTTTTAATGACTATTGGTTAAAAAAAATTTCTTGACATGTTTTATTTCAGGAAAATCGTTTTAATAAAAGTTCTTTCTTTTTCATTTTCATAGAAAATGAGTTACTCCTAGATAGAATGCATGTATCTTACATAACACTAGGTCCCCATGTTTGTGTGTATAGGAAGAGATAGTCTCTGAAAATTAGAGAATATCTAGTAGTTAAAAGTTAAAAAAAGACTTCTAAGTTAAAAATTTGCAGAGTATGCATTAATAACGTGTCCTATGTAGGTGATAATTTATAACTACATTTATCAACAGGTGGAACTGCAGATATTTCTGTTTGCGAGAGCATGGATGATGGACAAATCAAAGAACTATACGTTTCCTCCGGCGAAGATTGGTGTTGCTCTCCTATGTTTGAAGAATTCTGTGCAACTTTAAGGGAAGACATTGGAGAAGATGTTTTTGAAGATTGGCAAGCATGTAAGCTAGAATTTCATGACTTTGAAGTAGAATTTAATTCACAATTAGCATTTTTTTTGAAACAGGAAAAAAAAACCATGCACATACGTTTACCTCTAGAACTGTTTGAAAGAATACCAGAAAACACTTCTTCAAAATTATATTTGCGTTCAAGTGATGTACAGTTACAACGAACTACAAACATTATCGAGATTAAATCCGAATTCATCCAAAAGCTTTTCGATCATCCAATTTACAAACTCTGTGGCTATATACGCAAAGCTATAAACCATCCAAACTCCTCTGGAATCAATCTAATGGTCATTGTCGGTGGATTTTCCGAAAACCACATTCTCAAACAATGTCTTCAGAAGGAATTCCCAGATATTGAAATTTATATCCCTACTGAAGGATCGCTTGCAGTAGTTAAGGGAGGCTTTATATATGGCCACAATCCAAATATAGTTGCTCAAAGAATAGCAAATTTTACATACGGATGCGTTCCTGTGTTTGAATTTGAAGATGACAAAGTGTTTTCGTTTAGCACAGACGAAAAACCATTATGCAGTGGACCCTTCGATCGACTTGTCGAAATAGGAACACCCCTTCTCATTGGTGAACCACAAATTGTTAAAACGTATCAAAAGACGCCTGAAGCTAAAAGTTTTTCAATCTTTCTTTACGGATCAACTAAACGAAATCCACAAGACGTGTCTGAAAAGAGTTGCTTCTACTTGGGGAATATCACTATGAAATATGAAACACTTGAAAGGGTTGAAGGAATCGTTCAGTTAGAAGTAGTATTTGGTGGGTCCGTTATAAATGTAAGCCTGAAAGACCTTTCTTCAAAACGCACGGAAAACGCAATAGTAAGCGCAAGGTAGGTGACATTTTAAATAAAGACTATCTTAAAATATTTCGTAAGCTAAACCAGTTTATGAAAGAATTTGTGCAAGTAATTGAAGTAGCCAATTATCTAAACAGAAATAACTGGTTGATATATTTACGATCTCATTGACTATTTATTCATATCAATGTTTATATAGTCGCTCTATATTTTCATTTTTAGATTCATACAAGTGTAGGCTAATCTTTTCATCAACTTAAATTTTCTTTAAAGAAAATACATCCACTTAGATACTAATTTTAATGATCATTATTTCAGCTTAAGACTGAACACACATGATTACTTGTTCGTCGCGGCGATTGATTTGGGAACAACTTATTCTGGTTACGCTTTTTCTTCAAGACACAATCACAAAGAAAATCCCACTGATATTATAACAAAAACTTGGGATGCTTCGAGTGGAAAATTGCAATCTCTTAAAACGTCAACATGTGTCCTTTTTGATCCAAAAAAGAGATTTGATTCGTTTGGCTTTGATGCTGAAGACAAGTTCATACAGCTTGCATCTGAGGGCATACACAAAAGATGGTTTTTCTTTCGCCGTTTTAAGATGAAACTCTACAACGAAAAGGTAAAAAAAACTTTTTTATGAACTATTTTAAAGTTAATATTTTCGCCGAAAACAATATGTTTTAAAACAGGACAGCACATTTTGTTCTCGAATATGCAGGAAGGAAAAAAACCCACCTCGATATATATTGTATTTATTATTTTCAGTCAGTCTATACCAATTTTTATATCTATGTTTAGAACATTCTATTTGAGACTGTTTTCCAAATTCAGCAAACTGAACTGCTCATTTTGCCTTTTATATTTATTTTTGTGTCTTAAATTTCAGTGTACAAGGTTTGTCGAAAAAATTCGTGGACAATGACGTTTTTGTCAAAATAAATCTTTTGCATATCTAAATATTTCTTATGAAAAACCAAGTCATAATGATTTAATTTTTCAATATTTTTGTAAAAATAGTCATCTTTAAAGATCGCAGATAGAGCACATGGACCAAGGTTAAAATGTTAAAATGCCAGAAACTCTGATAAAAAAGTGTTCAGATTAAACTGATTATTATCTACATAAAACAAGTCAAAACTGGATGAAAAAAAATCATATGTAACACAAATACAGCAGCTATAATCATGTTCTGAAATCTTAAATATCGGTTTCTATATAGACAGTGAAAATACTAAACAAAAATCCTAATAAATATGTGTCAAAACTTGCCGGAAAAACTGACGTCGGCTGTCCGAACGGGGCAGCGTCAAATAAAAAAAAATATTATGGTTTAATAGGGTTGAACGAGGTCAGAGACAAAATATTTGTTTAAACAACTTAAAATTATTAAATATATTTAGTTTATTGATTTGAAATTGTTTTTATACAATTTTTCAACGGTTTGTGCAAATTTGAAGACACTACACCAATTTAAATGCACATGTAATTTGCTTAAAATGTAGATTTCTATTCATGACGTTGTTATATATTTAGCGCAGCGACAGACTGTGCTGTGCATTTTGTGTATACAAACTTTATATAAATGACACTCATTTTTATGAATTGTTTTGACCCCGATTTTCTTACAAAAGTGTAAAGTTTCACTTATAAACATTAAATCTTTTTGATTTGGTTTTTCATAAGAAATATGTTGATATACATTAAATATATATAGAACCATTTATTTTAACAAAAACCTCATTGTCCACGAACTTTTTGGACAACCCTCGTAATTATTTCATAGTCTTTCATTTTTTTTTTCTTTTCGTATTTGGGGGATCCATAATTTGATAAATTTAAGTACACTCTACATGAGCTTGAAGGAATCTTATTGTTTTAACCCTGAATTTAAATATACTTTTAGACTCTCGACGAAAATTTGCATATCATGTCTGAGAGTGGAAGATCACTACCAGCAATAACAGTATTTTCTGCAGTGATAAGATTCTTGAAGAATAAAATGATGGAGGAAATTCTCACAAAAAATCTTAACATCCATGAATATGGATTGCGCTGGGTCATTACCGTACCCGCAATATGGACAGATTCTTCAAAATCATTTATGCGTCGCTGTGCCATTAAGGTATTATAATATTATTAATATGTCTTTTTTTGACTGATTTATTATATAAAGACAAAGAAATTTGGCACTCTCTCTCTCTCTTATATATATATATATATATATATATATATATATATATATATATATATATATATATATATATATATATATATATATATATATATATATATAAAATCCAAATTCAAATGATAAACTCAAACTTTTATCTAAAGCGCTTTCGCCCCATGCGGGCTCATCAGTAGATTTGAAATTGTAAACAAGTTACATTATGATGTCATTCTCGTGACGTTATGTAGGCAACGTTAAACATAATGATTGTGACGTAATAATAATCACAGTTAAATGAGGCGCACAGATACAGTTTTACAGTTCATCTGATCAAAGTTAAGCGCCTATTATAAATGTACAATAATGGAGACATTTTATATAAAATGTACATAATAAAATATGTTTCTGATTGTTGAATAATAGGGAAAAATTGTTTGGCAGTTTTAACATTAAGGGACCTTATAAAACCAAAGGATATACTACACAGCAGGCGTCAACCTCCCAATTTGAAAAAGATTCTTACCACTGCCAAATTTACATCGAACCCCGAGAAACCGATGGTTTCTAAGTGCGAGGATCCACGATGCGGAACCTGTCAAGTTTTAAAAACCGGCCAAACCATTATTTTTAAAAACGGAATGAAGTTTGACGTTAAATCCTCTATGACGTGTAAATCTAAAAACCTTATATACTGTATGACGTGCCCTACATGTGAGGAAAATTATACAGGACAAACCGGAACCAAATTAGCCGACCGTGTTCGCGTGCACAAACAACAGATTAAGGATCCGACCATACGAAACACGCCATGTAGTGAACACTTTGATTCTTGTGGCAAAGGACATTTTTATATATTTCCTTTTTACAAAATAAAAGAGGAAAATGAACAATTACGGAAAGCCAAAGAACAATATTTTATAAATCTGTTTAAACCAAAATTGAACTGTTAAAAGGAATTTATATCAAATTATTTTATTATGTACATTTTATATAAAACGTCTCCATTATTGTACATTTATAATAGGCGCTTAACTTTGATCAGATGAACTGTAAAACTTTGTCTGTGCGCCTCATTTAACTGTGATTATTATTACGTCACAATCATTATGTTTAACGTTGCCTACATAACGTCACGAGAATGACGTCATAATGTAACTTGTTTACAATTTCAAATCTACTGATGAGCCCGCATGGGGCGAAAGCGCTTTAGATAAAAGTTTGAGTTTATCATTTGAATTTGGATTTTATTTTATCCCTATACCAAGGAATAATAATTTTTTGAATATATATATATATATATATATATATATATATATATATATATATATATATATATATATATATATATATATATATATATATATATATATATATATATATATATATATATAAATTCAAATGATAAACTCAAACTTTTATCTAAAGCGCTTTCGCCCCGTGCGGGCTCATCAGTAGATTTGAAATTGTAAACAAGTTACATAATGATGTCATTCTCGTGACGTTATGTAGGCAACGTTAAACATAATGATTGTGACGTAGTAATAATCACAGTTAAATGAGGCGCACAGATAGAGTTTTACAGTTCATCTGATCAAAGTTTAGCGCCTATTATAAATGTACAATCATGGAGACATTTTATATAAAATGTACATAATAAAAAAAATTGATATAAATTCTTTTAACAGTTCAATTTTGGTTTAAACAGATTGATAAAATATTGTTCTTTGGCTTTCCGTAATTGTTCATTTTCCTCTTTTATTTTGTAAAAAGGAAATATAAAAGAATACCCTTTGCAACAAGAATCAAAGTGTTCACTACATGGCGTGTTTCTTATGGTCGGATCCTTAATCTGTTGCTTGTGCACGCGAACACGGTCGGCTAATTTGGTTCCGGTTTGTCCTATATAATTTTCCTCACATGTAGCACACGTCATACAGTATATAAGGTTTTTAGATTTATACGTCATAGAAGATTCAACGTCAAACTTCATTTCGTGTTTTAAAAGTTGACAGGTTCCGCATCGTGGATCCTTGCACTTAGAAACCATCAGTTTCTTGGGGTTCGATGTAAATTGCCTATGGTAAGATTTTTTTTTGAAATTGGGAGGTTGACGCCTGCTGTGTAGTATATCCTTTGGTTTAATAAGGTCCCTTAATGTTTTTGATTTTTGAATAATAGGGAAAAATTGTTTGGCAGTTTTAAAGATGTTGTGATTTCTTGGGTTGTAGGTAAGAAGAAAAGGAATCTAATATCGTTATAACTTAAGAAAAATAAATGCCTTATAACCCGCTGTTTAATTAGTTTGAATTTCTCGGGATCGAGAAATCAAGGAAATCAATTATACATATGCATGTAAATCTACGTCGAATGTACCATTGAATTTTAGAAAATTCATCAATGTTCTCCATTATATCACTGTTTACATGTACAGTGTACATGTCCGCATCGTCGCATAAACAACAATGATCGATCCACTAAACCATTACTGTATTGGAATATACAAGGGGCGGTTCTTACTGGCGGTGAGATTAAAGCGGGGTCCGCTTCACACATAAGTGCGTAAAGCGGTCCCAGGAAGCGAACGCCGGGTTCGCTCTAGCGGACCCTGAGTTGACCCCGAGCGAAGGCGGAGCGAACCTGGAGCGCACCCAAAACGCACCCGGAGCGGTCCCAAAATTTCTGAAAGCGAATCCGAAGCAGACCTCGAGCGAACCCGAGAAGCGAACCCAGGGTCCGCTCCGGGTTTGCTCTGGTATTAGGTTGTGTCCGGTCGGTGCTGTGAGGTAAACACACTGTTTTTCAATATTTAGAGACGATATGAATTTCTTGCAATCTTGGTACAGTTAACGGAAGTTCCATGGGGACTGGTTTTCGAATTGCCTTCTTAATGAAAAAGACAACAACGGGTAACTAAGCAGTGTCTTGTAAATCCCCCCCCAATAAAACTATTTACATGTTCTTGTTGTCAGGGAGGGCCTGGAATGGTTTTCAATCAACCGTGACGATGACGTTTACGAAAAACTGAGTCATGTTACGAGCGCGTTATTCGTCCTGTCATCTCTTAAATCGCCACCTTACTACCACAAAAACCCATTTATACAATAGACTAATATAATCATTACATTCACACGAAAACTGAAAGAAAACAATTCCGCAATATGGTTTTTCTTTTGATCCCTTCAACTTACTGTTCCTCTCACTGGCTTATGCGCGCGTGTTATGTCTAATTTTTTTGGTGTGGTTACCCATGCCCAATATAGCCATTGATTGTAAGATAATGAATTCCGTGCAAAGGAGAAATAAGGCTCATGACAGATGCGCGGGAAAGACATTGAAGATAATGAGTTTTCGATTTTCACTTTTAGGGGGCATTGGTACTTGAGCTTCAATAACTCATTAATCATTAAACAAAATAAAATGGGATTTAGGTTATTGCAGCCCAGAGGACCGGGTTGCTCTATACATATATGTTTAAGTGTGGTGTATGGAGATTAAGGTGGGAGAAGTTATTCAGAATTAGAGGTTTTCTAAACATTTAAAAGATTTTTTATCAGAATGTTTTTCCCTTCATAAATTATTAGATTCAATATATTTACTTTCATCAAAAGAATCTGTAAAAATATTTATATTTTTCATATTTAATATATAAATTTGCTTATTATTTACTATCAAAAAACGACAGGTCCCCTTTTTTAGAACATCGAATTTACTTATCGCATAAAAACGTACTCTATACAGTTCGTGATTTGTTTTCTTAAAATGAAATATATTTTTGAATATATGTGATGCATGTCTCTGGTTTCAATTTATATTTTATGCAGAAAACATTTACTTGAGGAATTGATAAAGTTAAAAAAGGGTATCGTTTTTGTTCGATTTTCATCCGACTATAAGTTTTCAAAATATTCTCGACTATCGTCTCCATCATTAAGACACATGCCTTTTTCACACTTATCGAAGCGGTTTGATGACCAAGACTAATTTCCATTGTATACTTCATTTATTTCCCAGGCGACAAATGATAGTTACATCAATGTTTTTTGTATCTTTTTGAAAGATGATTTTAAAAGTTATATAGGAATACTACTGAAAAAAATTAAAAAGAAAAATATATTTTAAATTCACCTCAAAAGTTTACTCTGTGTTTCTTTTTCCTTTCATAATATATAGATACAGGGTTCTCCATCGTTTAAAATTTTATTTTGTAAATAATGGCCCAATAATTAGTCCTAAAACATTTCAAAATTTATAATAAATCATAATTAATATGTTAACATATCCCTTCTATATTATATTTCATAATAGATCAAGGTACCTTTAAGTTGGCGTATTAGTTAATGTACAAATTTTGCACTAACTTTCACACATTATACAAATAAAATTTCAAAATATAAAATACATAGCATCAGTTTGGGTTTAAAGAGGTTTATAAAATAGTCTTCTTTTGCCAAACGTAGATTTTGGCTTTCATTTGGAAGTTTATGAAAAGGAAAAATCTTTAATATTCCTTTGCCACATTTTGCGAAATGTTTACAACACGGTGTATTACGCACACTAGGGTCTTTAATTTGTTGCTTGTTCACACGAACCCTGGCATTAAGTTTTCCCGTTTGTCCAATATAATATTCTTTGCACGTCGGGCAAATGGCACAGTAGATGACGTTTTCCGATTAACAGTTCATTGATCAGTTGGTTCGAATTTCCATTCCCGATTTAAGTTAGATTTTATTCCCCTCTTCTAGATTTGTACACCTTCTGCATCTCGGATATCCGCATTTTTTAATGGTTGGAATTTCCTCCTGTGTAATAAAACGGGCCTTTGTCCACAGTTTTTTGAGGTTTGGTGCTTGTCGTCGACTATTTACGAGGGGTGATCAAAAAGTTCGCGAACTAATTGAATAACTTCCATAACAGAAATAGTATTTGGTTTCAATGTTGATTATATTTTATATAAATCCTCTCCGATTTTCATGCACATCTGTCACCGTTCTGCGCATGCGCGAATCACGTGATATAGGCGGTCACATGACCCCGTCGTAGCGTTCTGTCACAAAAGCTGAAAGATTTTTCTGAGTTTTATATTTCTCTCCATGTAAGTTATTTTTTATTACAAGAACAGTTCATTTGTCAGAAATTTTCAAATTTTGGCAACAGAATTGGTGGATAAGAATATCCTTTCCAAAAATAAGCATGGCGACTATCAAAACCCAAATCTTCTGTCTCGGAAGTGATGTTTATTCATGGTGGATAGAGATTGGGTACCTCCGTCTTATTATATCTAATATGTTTTAAATCTAAAGTAAGCGATATCTTAGTTATTTAATAATTATATTATTGTTAAAATATTCAACCATTTTTCAAATTGTAAATTGGACGTCTTTGATAGCAAATTGCTTAATTAAAAACACACCTCCTTTTAAACTTGCTTTCACTGGGCAACATAACAAGTATCATTTTTAACAATCTGCCTTCTTTCACTAAAACGACCAATCCAATCATTGATTGAATTTATTGGAAGTTATTTGTCTTGAAAAATTGTGTACAAATAATTATACGTTTCTTTCAAGGGATTTTTAAGTTATACAATAAATTTTACAGTCGTTTTTTAAACGAGTATGACTGAGACAGCAATTTTTGTCACAAGTTACCTACATAGTGACGTCATTTTCACATTGTGACGTCACAAACAAGACGCAAAACTTTATTCAGCATTCAGGCTGCTATTTATAGAACTTGTGTAATGGTATGTGTGTATTAAATTGTTTTCTAATCTTAATTGTGGTTTTGTAGATACAGAGATAGTTCGCGAACTTTTTGATCACCCCTCGTATAATATCATTTGGTTTTCACTTTTCATGTTTTCAGATTGTTCTAGAATGGGATAAAATCTTTTAGCATCCATAAGAATGTTTCTGTTCCTTTGGGTTATGGGTAACCACAAAGGCTACTTTCCCGTCAACATTGGTGTCGTCTATTTGGCGTGGATTTCTTAGGTTTACTATTGGGATCTATTATGACGTCACAATGAATATTATGCTTTTGACGTTTCCAGATAACCTACCTGACATTTTTATAACTGTCTGAAGAGTCGAACATGGCGAAAGCGCTTGCAGTAAATGTTTTGTGATATTTTTGGATTTTTACTGCAAAAATATATAATATATCCATTTATTGTTTTAATCAAATTCAGGCCGGAATTGCTAAAGATCGGCTTACAATAGCACTTGAACCAGAAGCTGCTGCAATTTACACAAACTTTTCTTCCATTAAACGCGACCTTGCTTCTAGTTCTATTTCATGTGGAAAAGGTTTGAAATATCTCGTCTGTGATGCTGGGGGTATGTATTTTTAAACAATTATACCGTATGGTATTTTTTTAAATCAGCTTTTCCCAAGTGTCTCCTGTGTATAAAACTATGCATCACCACAGTCTGTGCCTCAATTCAGTCTAATCAAAGCTATATTTTTTTGCTTCCTGTCCCTACTTGTAACGTAACTGATCCCTAATGCCAACTTCAACGGTTCATAAGAATTGTACTATTTTTAATATTGCATAATTAATATTTTTGAGAAGTTTTTAATGTCCAGTAATTTATAAATGCATTTTCTTCAATTCATAGACCAAGACATAATTACTACAGTGTTATACATGAAAGTACGATCAATAAATCAGGGCATAATATGCTAGATTTATGTATGCCAATTGAAACGATTCCAAGCAAACCACAGCCCTTCATTCAATTTGCGTAAACACAATTTGCGACAACAAATTATGCAATATTTATTTCTTTAATATTTAATTATTAGATTTCAAACTTTATGGTCGTAAGAATCGTAAGAATTATAGTAGTGGAAGTATTGTGGCACAGACTTGGAAAAAAGCACACAGAAGAGAATTTAGAACATTTGTATTACGAAGCATATTAAAACTTTCAATTCCTATGATGGGTTCTATGAAAAAGCTTATCATAGTTTTTTTTTTTTTTTCATTTAAAACTTTTTCTCTAAAAAGCGGAAATAAGGTACCCGTGGAATAAATATAGATATCCTGAAATATACGAGGGCCGTTCAAAAATTACGTACGCGGACTATGCTATTATCTACTCTTACAGACGTCATATAGTTATGAAATTTCACAGAAATATGTATCTTATCGATTCCAATAAATTTTGGGCAAAATTTCTGCATTTTAAATAGATTCTACTAAAATTATCGGTATGTTGATATTGTTGATGGAGAGGTACGGCGCAAGACAAAAAAATTAAAGCAAAAGCATGCGGATTCAAAAATTTAACTCAATAATCACCTATAATTCGCGATATTTTTCGACAATTTTATCAAATGTATCTTTAAATTATTCTATTATTATGTTTTTAGATTTCTGACGTGATATTTGAAGTACTAACAGAAATAAAGTGATTTTTCTCTGATGCGATTACTGTGAAAACGACTGTAAAAATGACGTCTCCTGAATTGACGGCGCACAACACCTTTGTTAAATTATGTGTAATGCTCGAGCTATCGCCAACATAGATCCAAAATATGCATGATAAAACATGTAGTAAACTAGAGTATTCGTAACATTCGTCCTCAAATAGCAAATTGAAATTTTAGACCGTTAGATTTCTGTAAAAAGGCTATACAGGACCACTGGAAGAAGATTATCGACGAAAACTTTATCCGGACTGTAAAGAACGTGATTGAGAGTCACCAATATCACACTATATCTCATTAATGCCTGCAGTTTTTGGTTTTAAAACAAAAATAATAATATTCTTTACTTGTTTAATACATTTTAAGCTGTACAAGAAATGGTGTTTGGATGTTGATAAGGTAACTCAAACTGTACAGGTACTCTTGGGAAAATGTTGAGAAAATGAAAGCTCAATCACGTATTTTTTTATAATGCCTGTGACGTCGAAGATTTTGCTGCTCCGTGACTTAAAGATATGTCCAGAAAAATCACTCAAAATTAATTCTAATTCACAACATTTTGATATGAAATTTTGATGATCATATAAGTAAAGATTCGTTTATATTATGTATGACATTTTGCCCGATTATATAGTCAAATATTTTTTGTTTGTAACTAGTCCGCGTAATTTTTGAAGGGCCCTAGAATTTTCTTGAGATGAGGTTTAAAAATGTATTTTAAGATGATTCCAGTATTGTTTTCTAGGTGGAACAGTTGACATTACTGTGCATGAATTGATTGATACTGAAGGACATGTGCGAGAACTTTACAAAGCTTCGGGTGGCGATTGGGGAGGAACAAAGGTTGATGATGAGGTCAACAAATTCTATGAAAAAGTTTTAGGAAAAAATGTAATGGAAAAATTCAAAAAAGAACATCTGGAGGGTGCTCTGGAGATGGCTAGGGATTTTGAGACCAAAAAAAGGGCTTTCAATCCTCAATCAGATATAAATGTACAACTAAAATTACCAAACTCTCTGAAGAAAATCTACAAGAAACTAAACGAAGATAGAGTTTTAAGTGAGGATATATTAAAGAACAATGTGATAAAAGATGATGTTAAAATTATTCGGGACAAATTGATCGTTTCCGTCAAAGTTTTTAAATCTTTCTTTACTCCCTCTCTTTCAAGAATATGCAATCATATAAAACAGATTCTTGAGCACCCAAATGCTAACGGTGTTAACCTGATTTTGCTGGTAGGAGGCTACGCAGAGTCAGATATACTGAGAAGCATAGTAAAAGAAAGTTTTCCAGCCCAAAAAATCAAAATACCAAAAGAGCCTGGACTTTCAGTTTTAAAAGGAGCCGTTCTTTTTGGACATGAACCAGAGTTAATTAAGGAGAGAAAGGCAAAATATACGTATGGAATAGAATGTTCAACAGTATTTTGCGAAGGAAAACATCGCGAGGATTATAAAAAAGTGGATGATGGAGTGGTATATTGTGCGAGGGTTTTTGATAGACATGTAAAAATTGGATCATCACTCCCCGTCGGAAAGTACCAGTCAACTCGGACTTATAGTAAGCGAGCAAAGGCCCTGGCACAGAATATGTATGTATACGCTAGTTCTCAGGAAAATCCAAAATATGTTACCGATGAAGGTTGTTTCCTTTTAGGAAGTACAAAATTAGAATTTGAAGGAGGCAAGACCATGGGCGCAAGTGTGATAGAGGCACAAATGTCGTTTAGTGGGACTGAGATAGAGGTGACATTGACTTGTAAAACTACGGGAAGAGTCACCAAAGTGTATCTTGAAAATAAATGATTCGTAAAACAATGTCATGAATTAAAGGGCTTCAATGGACGTCAGAAAAACAATTCATGATCCTACTACATGTACATGTATGAACGTTCCGCTAATGAAAACCAAGCAGTGCACATTACTCTGGCATTTGTAGTATAGAAATGTTTTTTCTTTTATCTCGCCTCAGTCAAACTTTAAAATATGTTTTTGATTTTAATAATCTTTTCAGCTTTGCTTTTGACATGTTTGATCTTAGCTACTAATTATGAGATTGCCAATTATTTTTTTGTGAGTTGTTTCAGATGATGACCGTAGAAAAGGGACGCATTTGAAAGGATTCGACAGGAATAATGGCGCCCTTGAAAAGTCAAAATTTCAATAATCACATGAAACGTTGCATATTTTAATTCATGGGGTTTAAATGAAATAGAATAGAAATGTATTTTTCCTAAATAATAATATAATACAATAAACTAAAAAATAATTTGAAATATTTCTAGATGTGTGCATTTGGTATGAAATCTTTCTTTGTAAAACACAATAGTGCCAAAACGAAAATATAATTGCATTTAATTCCCTCATTATAGACATTCACAGCAAAATTAATTTAACTGAAATATATTTTGCTGTAAGCAAATATTTAACGAGGTCGTGATCTAAGGATGATAATTAGTTAGCCCTAAAAACCATTTTGTATTAGGCATGACATTACGCAGTATATTAAACATAAAATGATTCATTTTGCCTTATTATCATTTGAGGACTGCTTGACAAAACATTTTTGAGCGACTTCAATCACTGTCCATTGTGAAACCTGGAAATATATTTTCATACATGAACTTTTATGTTTTTATTATGCATTCCATCATACATTATAATTATATTGTATAATTATTGCATTAAACATAACGGTGTTTAATAACATTATAATATATGTTATGAATTCAGATGTGAAAAAGAAAATTATATCGGTACAGGGATCACGCTTTTTTTGACACAATCTTCTTCATTATTCTTTTGTTTCCTAGAAAATAGAAAGTTTTCTAAACTATTTAGTTCACCGTCTTCATAAAACAGCAACCTTTGACAGGCATAAGTTAAATTACAAAGTCAATCTGGCACTTCTCTCTCTCTCTCTCTCTCTCTCTCTCTCTCTCTCTCTCTCTCTCTCTCTCTCTCTCTCTCTCTCTCTCTCTGAATTTTTAGTGCCATTTGAAAAAACAGGTAATCTTGACTTATATTTTTATATTTTGTCTGTCTCTTTCTGGTTTCTTCGAATATTTTAAAAGTATTTTTTTCCAACATGGATCTTTAAATTGCTGTAAAAAAATTACACATGCCCCCTTCCCTTTTCAAGCGTCATTTGTAACCATATTTTTCGCACCCTCTATTGAATTCACGATAACCTAGTATAACAATGACAAATGAGGTAAAAATTAAAAAAAAAAAATATGCCACGTCACACAAATAAATTAAATTGATTATGCTTCAATGGTAAAAGTATTCTTTAAACTCACGATAGACTATAGCTATGCATGATACTGAAATTGCACAGCACGATCATATTACAGCTTCTTTACGGAAATATTTACAATTTGTTCAAAAGAGAATTTAAAGATCTATTTTGTAGACCAAAAATGATATTGAATGAAAGCGTAAAAATTATCGATGTAAATATCTTGAACTATTTCATTCTTAAAATACTAGTAAACGAACTTTTTGATTACACTTCGTATAATTCTCAATTTATTTTCTTGTATATGTGAGAGACAGAGGAGGTGTGTGTTTGAGTATTTTGTAGGGATGGCAGTTTGTAACCGGGTAACCGATTAATCGGTCGGAACAATGGCAATCGGTTAGAAGAACTGTAATCAGTTAGTCGGAAAAAATAAAAAAATATGTGAAATATTTCACTATTTTCTTAAAATTCATTTGTAAAAATAATTTTCTGCGCATAGGGTTGATAACTAAGCTTTTAACAAAATTATTTAAGCTGATTTGGAGGTAATTAAGGCTCTCCAGAACGAGACAGTGGGGTAAATTGGTCAGTTTGTGTAGTATTAATCACTGTGAAAACACAATGTCGTTAACCCAATAGTACTGTAATTCTTTGACAATTACAAATTAATCCCTCTAAGCTCTGTTAATTGGTATGTTTTTTGTTTTTAGTTATCTATCCAGTTAAACAAACAATATTAATTGAATTAAGGTCATATTTACCTTAAAACCGCTTTTGAGACAATGCAAAAAAAAAATTGTGTGACAATTGTTTGAAATTTATCGATGATTTTTCTATGCCTTTTTCGTGTTTTCTTAATTTTTTCTTGTCCATTGAAATTTAAATTTAAAAAATTACCGTTCGTTTTCTGATTCGGACAAATAAAAATTTTTGAACTTTCGTTATTTTCAGTCTTTTGTGTATACCGATATAACTACTTGAAAAAAAAAAATGTCAAGAACTGTGTATTTGTGATACGATTAACCGGTTAATGGGTCGGAACGTTTTGCGGTTAACCGATTAGCAATTCTGTATTCGATTGCCATCCCTAGTATTTTGTTTCAAAAAGCACTCTTTATAAAAGAAAATTAAAAAGAATCAATAGTTAATTAAAACTTTTCCAAATTTATGTACTTTATCAACGTTTAAAAAAGAATATTTCCCACCAAATATCAGTAAGTCTTGATAGGAATACTTGTTTTCCCCACATTTCCATTTTTCATTGTACCTTTTTTATTAATGGCTTTTTCTTTTTTATTTATACTTTTTTTAAAAATGCAAAGTAGAATAAATGAATTCCCGATGTAGTAAAATAAATTTCATTGTGAAAAAAAATACATTTACTTCTTCCATTTAAATATATCAAAGCCTTTGACACTTTCGCTTAGAGGACATAGCTATTTGACATTGCGAAATGTACAAGAATGGGATTTTTAATATATGGGAACAGAGGTACACATACACCTATTGTCTGCAATATGAAACTGAATTAAGGAAAATGAACAAATTACCTGCAAAATATTAGTGATTTGTGTGTGTGTTTATACATAGAAGTAAAAACCAATGTAAATTTTATGTAAAAATAGATGCTAAATAAAACATAATTATTTAAATTTTAAAAAAAAATGCAGCCATCTTTGACATTGTGCACATGAATGTTAACTCATCAATGTATGTATGTTTTTATTGAATTAATTTTATTCAACTATTTTTTCTTTTTGCAGTTTATATATGATTTATCCCCGAAATTGTGAACGAAAATGACAATTTATAATGATTACTTTTCCATTCTTACAATGATGTTTACTCATGATCATTTTCCTTATTCAGATAGCACAAACATGTACATCTCAAAGTTTTTTTTTCAATTGCGTGATGTCATTTGATTCTACATTGTATTTCAATATTTATGATAATTAATGCGGATGTCTTCACACTTCGCAAAATTTCTGAAAATTGTTACAAGTGACTCGTTTTGGCTAGGTGAGAATAAGCCTAAATGCGACTCCGTTGGTATAATTCATCGTACATTATACTATGGGTTCAAAATTTTCTTAACAGAGAGAGGTGGTTGTGAATAATTGATTATATGAATTATTCCTTGTTAATCTAAATATCTGCAAGTATCAATAATAATTATAATAGATCATTAAAAGCAAATTGTGCTTTTGTAAATATAATTTGAATATACTGTAAATCACTTTTTATTCGAGAGAACTTATTTTCACGTAATTACGCGAGACAGTGTGGTCGCAAAAATTTAATTCTCGCGTATAATAGTATTCCTTAAGATTATATAGAGCAATAACCACAATTCGTGAAAATTTTGTCTCGCTAATCAACAGTCAATGACTATCTCGCTAAAATAAGGTGTGGCGAAAATTAAGTGATCTACAGTAGTAATTAAAAAAGTATTCTTTGAATAATGAAAAAATAAACTTGATAGTTTTGAATTTATCTATTAATATTGAATTTAAAAAAATAACATAGCAGTAGCCGGGCAAAAACAGTTTGATTATCACCAAATATGTATTTAGGTTTGCGACAAATAAATACAAAATAAACATATTTAATTTATTGTTAGTTTTGTGATGTATTTTTGTGTGAATCCAGAACAAAAAAGTCAAATTAGGCATATCTATCTGTAAATTACTTTTTTTGTCTTTTTCATCTGACATGCTTAATTTTTTTTATTAATAAATTGAAAGACTTCAAAATATCAGTAGTTAATGTCTATAAGGTGTTTTCAATAACAATCATTCCTATTTAGCTCACCTGAGCCGAAGGCTCAAGTGAGCTTTTCTGATCAAAATTTGTCCCTTGTCTGTCGTCGTTGTCGTTATTGATGTTGTTGTTGGTGGCGTCGTTGTAAACTTTTCACATTTTCATCTTCTTCGCCAGAACTACTTGGCCAATTTCAACCAAACTTGGCACAGGGTATTCTTGGGTAAAGGGGATCCAAGTTTGTTCAAATGAAGGACCAAGCCCTCTTCCAAGGGGAGATAATTATGAATTTATGAAAAATAAATGGCATCTTTAAAAAAATCTTCTTCTCTTGAACCATTGGGCCAGGAAATGTATTATATAGGAATTTTTTTCGAAAAATTAATTTACTCTCCAGAACCATTATACCAGGATAGATGAAACTCATGTGAAAGCATCCTCAGGTAGTGTAGATTTAAGTTTGTTCAAATCATGACCCACGAGGGTAGGGAGGGGCCACAATGGATGATCAAAGGTTTACATAGGAATATATATATATATATATATATATATATATATATATATATATATATATATATATATATATATATATATATATATATATATATATATATATATATATATATCTTCTACTCCTGAACCATTGAACCAGGAAAGATGAAAATCATGTGGAAGCATGCCCAGGTAGTATAGATTCAAGATTGTTCAAGTCATGACCCCCGGGGGTAGGGCGGGGGCACAATGGCTGATCAAAGTTTGACATAAGAATACATAGGAAAAATATTTTTAAAATCGTCTTCTTAAGATCAGCAAAGTTATGATTGGTGATATTTATATATATGGAAACATCCACAGTTAGAGTTAATTCAAGTTTGTTCTTATAATGACCCCTGGGGTAAGCTGGGGCCATAATGGGCTATCAAATCTTAGCATAGAAATATATAGGAAAAATCTTTAAAACTCTTCTTCTCAAGTATGGCAAACTTATATACATGTTTGTTTTATTGATATAGTGACAAATTCTCAAGTAATAACCGCCCCCCCCCCATCCCCTAACAAGTAAACTTTTAATTACTGAGCTGATTTGTGTTTTTTAAGTAGCCCATGTGCTCAGGTGAGCGATGTGACCC